CTCGACCTTTTCCTCTGACCTACAGACTAAGCCCCTAGGACCGTGGATGTGCGGGAGTTGTTCTCGCTTTCCGTTTCTGAGCGACTTTGCAACTTTCCAGAGAGGAATACTTGAGTCAAGCATCCCCGACAGAAAGTCGCTCCAATGCTCATTACGGAATTCATGAAGAGCATTTCTCACTTCATGAACAAGATTAGTTGCTCTGTGAATGTCATCTGGGTGACAAGACCTCTTCGCTTGCTTAATTGCAGCTCTTTTGTCAGAAATTTTCTGACGAATGTCTGCAGGGAGAACAATAGTTCAGTGTTGTAGAAAGTAAAAATGGAATCAGGTAAATTGTTTGAATACTTTCCAAGCACAAATCTATTTTCGAAAAATCAAACTAACTAATCTAATTTCAGCACTCTTGAACCCGATAACGTTTCTTGGTTACATCCTCAATTCGACGGAACTTTGGAGATTTTTTAATATCGACGTCTCTATTTTTTGGACTACGCTTAAAAATTATCTTAACCTCGAGGAAGCTGAAGTGTTTCGTTGTTCGGTAACTGAGGTTATAAGCTTATGTCAGGACTGCATCCAAATCCGTAAGGTACTTCTGGGGTTATAGCCTGGCTACTTAAGGCGGCTCCGACACAGTAAGTTTCAAGCCACTAACAAGGGTTCAGCTGTTTCGAAACTGATACTCCATTTTTCAATATTTTTAAATGAAATTCATACAGTATGTTCAGAAGATAATTGCCCAGGGTGCTATAGGAGTACTTTGTTTTTGCACAAGTTTTATGATGGGTTGAAGTACGCACTTTTTCTGTTCAACTTTGCGATTTTTTTAAAAAGAGCCTAGTGAAAAAAATGAAAAAGTGGCTCTATAGCACCCTGTGAGGTTTTGTTTTCAGCGCACTGTGAAAATTTCATCCAAAAATATCAAAAAATAAAGCGTCAATTTCGAAGCGCGCAAAGCTCTACAAATCGTATTTTGGACGAATTTTGTCTACTGCTTCGTGCTGCCAACCCAAGCGTTGCGGCGCAGTGTACGGACTAAGAAAGCACGTATTCAGATAATTTGGTGGCCCTATTTCATTTAATATCGCATAGATAAGTCGTTCTGCAAATAGGTACTCATAATCGCGATCGTTGATACTCCTTGATTTTAAAGCCGTTTTACTTGCCACGCCATTGACGAGGAAGCATTGTAATCGCAAACAATTTCTAAAATGAGATGTTATGTTTTTTTAAGTCACATATCATCTACATCACGAAAAACTGTACCACTCATCATCAACTTTGAAATTACCGCTCGGATTTTTATGAGAAATTTCCACACGGGGTTACTAGTATGCCAAAGCTTTGTAGTTTTAGTCCGGTGTCAACGGTGCTATAGGCAAAAAAGAAAAACTAACAATTGCTGAAACTCCGCTTTTGACGTTTCAGGGGTTCCTAATCATTGACATAAAAAATTGTACTGCTTAAAAAGGGGGGGGGGGGGTGAAATCAGTGAAACACGATCTATTATTAAGAAGCTTCTGATCCCAGTGATTACAGGAAATTTAAGTAACGAAAATCCGACGAATAATGTGCTCGCGATTTGAAAAAATCGGTACCTGCTCTATAGGTTTGATACCAAGAGTCATCAGATCTGCAATTGCCAAAAGTAGGGAAGAATGAATTCGGATATCACTCCAGTCAAGTATAGGGGAATTTAGCGTGGATCTTTAAAATTATCGATATGGCAAGGAAATATGTTTTTGAGAATGATAATTTGGTAGATTTTATACCTGCATTTTCATTAGAACGTGAAATCTACCCATTTCGCCGTTACCTTCAATTTGTGTTCTGCAGTTTGTGATGTTTTTCTGGATATAAGCAGGACATAAGTGCCTAGGGTGCTATCAGAGCTTTTTACAAAATTTTTGTCTTTGCGCAAGAATTATGGTGGCTTGAAATGCTTACGATTTGTGCTCAACTTCTTGATATTTTAAAAAGATCCTAGTAGATAAAATCGAAAAAGTGGATCGCTGTCACCCTGTGGACTTTGTTTTTAGCACGCTGCAAGAGTTTCATTTGGAAATAATAAAAATGAAACGTAAGCTGTGAAGTGAAAATCGGTTTTTGGGCGAAATTCATCTACTATTTCGTTCTGCCAGTCCAAGTGACGCGACGGTGCCTTCCGACTAAGAAAAAATGTATTCAAATAATTTTATATCTTTCCTAAAATAAATTCAAGAACTCAAATTCAAATTCGTTTATTCATGTCAACAAACACAATTATGTTTACAAGGGTCATGTGGTAGGTGGTAACAATTAAACGAGGGTCATAGAAATATCTTATGCCGTCCAAATAAACAGTTAGGTAGTTTTTGCAAAGCAATAAACAGGTAGGCTTATACCTGGATTAAGTACATGTCTTGTCTAGTGTAATAGGTAGATGGAGGTGATGCTGCCAGAAATGGATGTGTGCGATCAATAAACTAACCACAAGATTAAACTGCCGTATCCAATGATTTTGGTATTTGCCTTTTTTTATCGCCTTACTAGAAAACTCTGTTGGGTATATGATGGAGTTTACTAGAACTTTACAGCTTGTTGTATGCCTTCTTCTACAAACTTCACCAAATCGAGACGCTGTCAACCTTATCCTCCGATGAAGACGTCACAAAGTATAGTCCTGTGATTTGGTGACTTGTTCGATCTGCAAAATCTCGTCGTCACTTTTTCTAAGTTTCCCTAAAAATTCTTGCTTAGCAACCTCCAAATCAGTGTCGTTCATGTCAGGTTTTTGACAGAATTCGCCATAAAACTATTCATTTTCTTTGGAATTGCTATCTGAATTGTTAGTTATTTTTATATCAGCTTTTTTTGGTCTAAGTTTCTTTTCAAGATTCTTGCGTTTGAGTCTTTGTTCCATCTTAGTAATAAGCGAGGTCGGACTAAGCTTAGAACGCAAATTTATTTGGACCACATAGACAGGTCGCTCTCGGTATTGTGGCTCACTACAGCTGCAGCACATCTTCCATGGTGTGAACTCTTCTTGCAATAATTTATTCGCTTACCCCAATGTATTTTGCGATTATAGAGTTGAACTGCTCCACACTATTGTTGTCCTCATTATGAATTAAACTCACTGCATTCGTAATTAGAATTGTCGCATATGACCTTTTATTGTCCATTATCAATCTTGATAAAAAAGGCACTCAAGAACAATCACACCAACAAGAGTACAGCACAACAATTCAACAACACAATATCGACGAACAGTAACAAGGGTAGAAAAATACTAAATGATCACTTGCTGAGTACCAAAATAGGAAACGATTTACAGGCTAGATCGCTAATCGAAATCCGACTCTTATTATAAAAATTTACCTCGGTACGCACCCGCAGTGTCATCCTTTCCTCTTTTAAAGTAGCGCCGACGACCATCTAAAGGCCAGCCCACCCTCGTTTCCCCTTTTCACCCCCCCCCCCCGTTACCTCAGCAGATGGTGCTCGTGATTGTAGGAGCCCCGTTAAAAAAATATCAAATTTGATACTTTTTGCGATGACGTAACTCGCGTAATCATTGAAGATTTCCATTTATCGAAAATTTGTCTAGCTTCTGCTATTCTAGTTCGTTCTAATTCAATCCAGGTAGAATACAAAGAAGATTGCGCCTTTATATCGCCATTCAACATGACCCATATAGCATATACGAAAATAGTATTTGAATAACCTTACGTGCGTTGTCCCCAAAACGCGATACGCTGTATTCATACGGATCAGTTATATTTAATCACAAAAGCTATGCAAATGCGAACAAAAGGAATTCGTTATTTGCCTTTAATTTATTTAGCACATCAAATTGATAAAATATCATTGTATAGAAGGTAACAGGCAACTGTTGCATGGAAGAACGTTCGACTTTTGTAAACATAAAGGGGTTATGAATGAGGTTAAGGACCTTTTTGTCTTGTCAAGAATCCTTGGCATAAGCTTCGGATATCGCAGTTCCAGTGGTTACAAAGACGGGTGTCAAACTGAGTCACATATTCCTCCTTCTTTTGTTTATCATATTTACATTGCTTTTCAGAAGGCCATACCTATTTTTTGAAGCGGTCTAGTTAACAAGCTGAAATTCGAGGTGATGAAATTACTGCATGAAAAGTATATCTTACAACTAGCATAAAAGTGGTAGTTGACAATTTTAAAGTGGCGCAATTTGGAACAGTTTTTTAAATGAAACCGGGGGCTGTGATGCCTCATTTTGAATGTTAAACTGTGTATGTATATTGTACGTATATATGTTTGTATGTTTCGTTTTCACACCAAAACAGCTGTACCGTTTTTGATGAATTTTAGCATATATAGATTAGACCTTGAGGACGTACATATGTTGCCTTTTGTTGTGAAAATTCGACTTGAAGGAGTTGAAATAATGGGTAAGAGCTACTATAAGGAAACTATTATTTTTTGTAACTAGGTGTCCAGATATGGGTTTTGATATGATCGGTTTTTTGGTATAGTGTATATGGGCACTTACAAGAAAATTTTGTAAATTCTACCGCTAAGGGAGTAAAGTAGGAATTCATACGTTTCAAGTTTTTGTAGAGAGTTTAGAATAACTCAAATTAATCGAGCCTGAAAGTAGGAGTATGTTCTGTCTTTAAAGCAATCATTATTAACAGAGAGTTTCAGGAATTGTATCCTCAAGATAGGGTAGGAGAGGGTTGAATATTTCAAGTTTATAGCAGGCATCTATTGATGAATGTGGTCAGATATTATGATATTATGATATCCATTCCAGCACTACAGATTATAGTCGACGACGATGGTTTAGGGATTATCTTCAACCTTTCATAGTTTGGATGAAAAATGAGAAAGTCGACCGAAGAACTTGTTAGAAGAGCAATTTTTCAAAATTTCAGTTTATTGTTGATTAGTGTAGTAGACCAATCATGCACCGTCTGCGTTTTGTAATAGGGAAATTATAGTCGCCTTCTACTTTAGATCATTTTTTGTTACAGATCCAGCAATGGGAAAATTCACGGGAAAAAAATGTCGTCTGCTGTCTATGCTGGCTTTGACGGCATTCTATTTTTTCGTAGAAATAGTGGTCGGCTACATAACGAATTCTATGGCATTGATAGCAGACAGTTTCCATATGCTCAGTGATGTAGCTGCCCTGATAGTCGCCTTCTTGTCCGTAAAGGTAAGATATTTGTCATCATTAATTTATCAAGTGTGAAACTGCAAAATCTTACTTGCTTTGCTAAGGCTCCATTCCACTATTGAACCGCGGGAATCAAAATTTGCTCCCAGGGAGCATATTCTACCAATTAGAATGTGTTCTAGAGAAAAATTATACGATTTGTGTAATATGGGCCCCTAATTTCTATATTAAATCAAGAAATACTTAATAAATCACCTCGCTTAGCTACAAAAACCTGCTTTTCCATTTTGATCCCGGGAGCAAAAGGATCATGCCTATAACCGGGTTTTTGGCCCTGAAACTAATTCAAATTTCTAGTTAATCGCATTCATAAAACTTTTGTATTTAAATATCTTGGAACAAATCCATTTTAAACTTCAGCATTTTGTTTTTTAGTACCTGATTATTTTTTAAAAGCCCAAAGTTGGTACTTTTGGCATGTTTCTTCAAAATTCGCCAATTTTTCAATATTTAACTTTGTATTGTTATATGACCCCATGGTAGCTACACTTTCTTCTTCAAATCTGTAATAAAACACTAAAATACAAAACATATATAAAAGTGTTGCTTTACTGCGTTCACATTAAAAACAAATGTTGAAACAAATCTATGCAAAACTACAATGATACTTCAACTTTTGTTTTTAATATGAGCGCTGCGTAGCAACACTTTTATTTTCATACGTATAGTGCGTTTTATTGTAAACAAGTAGAAGTATAAAGTTTTGAGACCATGCGCAAATATACAAATACTTACGTTAATTTTTCAAACAAGAGTTAAGTCTGAACAAAAACCCAAAAATTTAGTAATTTTTGCTTTTAAAAAACAATAAGATGCTAAAATAAAAAGGAAACTGTTTATGAAAGTTTAAAATACGTATGTTCTTAAATATTTAAAAGAAAACATTACATGGAGGCAATCAACTTCAAATTTGAGTTATTTTCAAGGCCAAAAACTCAGCTTATAGGCACGGATCTTTTGCTACTAGGTAGCAAATTCGACCAATCAAAACGCTTTTTATGATTAATGGATTTAATGAGTATAGTCAATTTTCTCTGAAATACCTTTCAAACTAGCAAAACATAGAATTTGTGTAAGATGTGGTTCTAGTCCCCATATTAAATCAGAAAATCATTCAAGTATCACCGTTTCGGCATAAAAATCTACTTTTTATTCGATCCTGAAAGCAAAATTAGCTAATTTGGCCAATCGGTAAAAGGTATTATATCTACGGACAATTTCGTGAAAAAATTGAAGAAATGGTGTTTGTTGTTAGGTGATTAATTCAACAATTGTTTTATTAACTTGGATTATAAACATTTTTCTCTTTCTGTTGGAAAGAATGACAAAATAATAAAATAATCCGGCGACATATGTTTTTGTTGTGTACCGGCACCAGTAAAATGTAGGGATGTTTCCTCTATCAGCAGTCTTAGATAGTTGACTTTTACTACTTAATACATTTTGTGATGACATGAATTATTCTGTAATAGTCTTAAGGTAGGTTTTCTCTTGACTGCCTTGCAAAATAATCGTCAGTGCCAACTGTTTATAATCTCGGCACGTGTTTAGTGGTAAATTTAATTAATTTTGTACAGGGTGTCCGCAAAGTTGGGGTTTTCCTTTTCAGAAACAACTACCCTTGAAATAACAAAGGTAATGTGTAGTGAAACGAGGGCGACCAAGTAAAAAAAAAATAAAAGAAAATGCTCCAACAGAAAATGAAATCAGCTGATGCGCTACCGAGCAGACGCCGGCGGTGGTGCAGACCACGAACAGAGGTAACAAATATGACCATCGTGCAGAAACCACATTGATTGTCTTACACTTAATGGCACATCTTTTAACAAGGAAGGCAAAATGTTGCGTAAAAAGTCTAGGTATTGCATCCCGTCCAATCGATTTGGGAGAATAAATGGTCCAATGAGCATACCGTTCACCATGCCAGCCCAAACATTCACCGAACATGTTTGTTGAAAATGTGCCCGACGGACAGCGTGCGGATTTTCTACTGACCAAACATGAGTGTTGCGAAAGTTATTCACCCCATTACGCGTGAAAGTAGATTCGTCTGTCACCAATATGCACTTCAAAAAGTCCGGATTATTGTCATGTTGTTGCAACAACCACTCACAAAACCGCACTCTTGCTGGAAAATCGTCAGGTTGAAGGGCTTGTACACGTTGGACGTGAAACGGATACAGCCCCTCTTCACGCAGCATTTGCCACACTTTAGTTTTTCATACTTGCACTTCTCTAGCCACGTCTCTAGTGCTTGTTGTTTTTTTGAAACGCAATCGATTATACGGGTTCGTTAACCGTCGGTTGAAGGTTTCATACTGACCTGACACACTGACCCCGACCCAGTTCTGTCGTCGGGTTGAGCTAGTGTCCTAGTACCAGTCGGGGATGTCGCGAGTCGCGGCTACAGGACGGTATTCAGATATTTTTGATGTTGCAGAGCCCTTTATCTCGGTTCCCTTATATGTATATGGTACTAAGAAAAATTGCTTATTATGTTTTCAAGATCTACATGTCGTGTAAAGGAAAACCCCAACTTTGCGGACACCCTGTATATGATGCTATTACTGCTCATTTACCCATCTTAGGATATATGCGGTGGATACAGCGCCACCTATGAGATACTAACATTTGAAAAGTAGATTTCTCATTATTACGGGGAGGAAAAAAGCTCTGACCAATTCTCATAATGACGCTATGGTATCTCATTCCATCTAGTATAATTTTTTGGACGCCGACATACAGTATAAGGCTGGTCAACTTCAAGTTAATCAGTGGTATCAGTGAAAGACGGTTTCTTATTAAGATTTAAGATTTATATAGCTTGTAGAGGTTTACGGTTTCTCGTATTGCAGTGAACATACTAAAGTTTTGCTTTGAAACTTCAGTCAAACTTTCTGACGTCATTTTTTATATACCATGTTATCCTTTAAAAAGAAAGCGAAAACAAAATTATCGCATGTTTTGGAAAACTCCTAAAAACCCACTGCTCTTTGGGATTGTAACGGTCTTATTTCAGAATTTTCACTTACTACGTTTACATGGGAGTTTGAATTCGATTCAAAATCCGGTATCAAGCCAAATGTCATAAGTGTCATTAATAGAAAAGATTAAAAAAACAATGAACTATTAATAAGAATCATCTGGCATTTTCTTAAAAGGAAACAAACTTCCCGTACAATCGCATTTTCAGGTTATGTCGGGCATTACAATCATTATGCGCAGCCGCCGATTCAATCCCGTCGCCCGTTTACATGCTATATATATGCACATTCGATTCCGCGAAACAGTCATAACGACCTTGAAACTCTATTTAATTTCGATCCTAATTCCCGATTTTTTAAGACGAAAATCGAACTCAGTTTGAACTGAATCCCTCATGTGTACGGTAATTCTTCCCTTTCGTATTTTCTCCGTCATATTTAAAAAATGGCGCTCAGCGGCTTGGCCTTGTTTGTTTTGACAATACTGACTTTCTCCCAGGAATTTTCTATGAAACATGTTTTACAATATCGGATGATTTATTAATTTTTGATTAGTTTCTGTTACATCATTTCCATGTGGTTTTAGATTTTTTGACGGCGATAGAATTTCTGTTCTTCTCCACCTCCAACATCTTTTTGAACTGCATCAGCTTAGACTCCATATTTTCCGTAGTTTTCGCATCCTTGGTGGTACTCGATTTACTGATCCTTCTAGATGTCTGTTTTGTTGAAATATCCTGGTCCTGTCCCTGCATCTCATTTGGTGCAATCAACGGGATGTGGTACGTGGATTTGCTGAAGGATTCGAAACCTTCGTTGATTTGGGCTTTCAGATCTTTGCGGTTGTTCAAGTACAGTTTCAATTGCGTTTGAGTCGTTAGAACCTGCAATGAACATCCAGGGATTATACAGGGTGTTCCTTAATGATATGCGAATATTTAAGGGTGTGAATCTACACGAAAAATTAATGTTAGTTTGCTTTATAAACTATGGTCCAAAAATGTTTCCTTACAAAAACTCGGGGCGTTGAAGTTTTTTAAAAAAAAATGGAAATTAATTAAATTAATTTTCAGAACCGTTTCAGATATGTCACTGATATTTAGTACATATTGAAAGTTAATAAAGCTGCATATTTTTCAATGCAAACATAATTTTTACCTTTAACAGTGGCGTGCGTACGGGTATTGACTTTTAAGAAAAAAATGGTACGTCAATGGTTTTTTGCCAAATAAAAATTATTGTTGAATTCTCCGTTCAAAAAATAAAAACCGTTTTATTGTCCGAGAAAATTAATGTAATAATTGAAGAATGCAATTTAGCAGTAAATATCTAGTTGCTCTGGAATATGTTACTGGCTTTTGACATCCGACAAGCCTTTGTTATTCAAATCTGTTCGCTGTGACATCTTTTTAATTATTTAGTTTTTACAATCTTGTTAATAATGGTGAATTATTCAAATGCAGAAATGCATTACGTATATGGCCTTGCCGACGGTAATGGTGAGCAAGCCAGGCGGATTTATCACCAGAGATATCCCGAGCGTGCTTTGCCAGATAGTCGAACCTTTTCTAATATTCATCGTCGTCTTGTTGAAACTGGTTCTGTCCGAAAAGGAACATCTGAAGGTAGAGCTCTAAATGTGAGAACACCTGAAATTGAGGAAGTAGTGCTGCACGAAGTCGAAGAACATCCTGAAACGAGTACGAGGAAGATCGCTAGACACTTAAATATTTGCCATCAAATTGTTTGGAGAACTTTAGTGGATTTTTTGTTATTTTATCCTTACCATATTTTAAGAGTACAGGCATTACTTCCCATTGATTTTCCAAGACGTGTGACCTTTTGTCAGTGGTATCTTCAAAAAATTACACAAAATCCGCAATTTGAATCAATGATTCAATCACGGACGAAGCTAATTTTTCTCGAAATTCCCTTCAGAATTTCCACAATAATCATTTGTGGGCAGAAGAAAATGCCTATGCCGTAACCGAAACCCATTTAAAACACCAATTTTCGGTTAACGTATGGACAGGAATTATTGGCAACCACTTTATTGGCCCATTCTTCTTGCCGGGACGACGTGACGGACAGACTTTCCTCAATTTTCTTCAACAACAGTTGCCTTAGCTGCTTGATGATGTTCCGTTAGTAATAATAAACAATATGTGGTAGATGCATGATGGTGCACCAGCGCATTTCAGTATAGCGGTTCGTAATTATTTTCAAACTGTTTATCCAAATCCTTTGATTTGCCGCGGTGGGCCCCAAGAATGGCCACCAAGGTCCCCAGAGCTCAACAGTTTAGATTTCTTTTTGTGGGGCTATCTTAAGGCACTAGTGTACACAAGTCCCATTAACACTGTAGAGGAATTAAGAGAATGAATAGTTGCAGCTTGTGATAGAATAAAAACACTCAGGCATGTATACTAAGTGAAGGGGGCCATTTTCAACATTTTTTGTAATCATTTCGTTGGTTTTAATGTTGTCAGTTGTTGTTTATTACCCCTAATGTGTTTTTTACAAATAAATTAATAATAATTTTTCACGTTAGACAATAGAACGGTTATTTTATTACTCAAAAACGGCGCATCGAAAGAAAACAATTCAAGAGAGATCATTTGTTTTAAATTGAACGTGGAATTTAAAAATGATTTTTATTTGGCAAAAAACAATTGGCGCACCATGTTTTTCTTAAAAAATATCGAAGTCAATACCAGTACGCACGCCACTGTTAAGGCTAAAAATTATTTTTGCATTGCAAAATATGCAACATTATTAACTTTCACTACGTACTAAATATGAGTGAAATATCTGAAGCGGTTCTGAAAATATTAATTAATTTCCATTTTTTTCTCCTAAAACTTCAACGCCCAGAGTTTTTGTAAGGAAACATTTTTAGACCATAGTTTATAAAGCAATCTAACATTAATTTTTCATGTAGATTCACACCCTTAAATATTTGCATTTCATATACTGTATGTAGGAAGAGAAAAATTGGGATGACTGAAGACAAAGTCATAAATTTTGAAATGCAAGTAACAAAAGTAGTTGAATTTTGCTCAGCAGTTTTAATAATCGGTCATGGTTGTAGCATTCAAGCCCTATTTGAATCCCTTACACATCTTTACCAATGATTCCTTAAGACTGGTCTTCACTAAAATACCTATACCTGGATCACTCTTATGAGTGAAGTATTCTCAAATAAAAATATTTAGAACGAGAAGTGGCAAACTCAGCCCTCCAGAGTTCAAACGAGAAGTAAAAATTGTTTAAGTTGTTTTGACATAGTTGTCACGCACGCCACTTGCTTACCATTTCTTGGTATTCTACAAGCTCTTTCTCGGCATTATCCAAATTCTCTTTGCATATAGCTTCAGTTGTATTCAATAGTTCGGCAGTTCCTAGATCAACACGAGTAGAACAATTGAAGTTTCTCACCATTGTGCTCTCTAGCAACTCTTGACGTTTTTTTTCAACTGTACTCTTCATTGCTTGGAGTTTCTGCATTCCTTCCATATAACTATGAATATACATGATGTACCAAATTAAATCTGTAATAGAGCTAATTGATCTGGTATATTCCCTTTTATGTACAAAGTTGAATGATTAAAGTAGCAATAGTATAGAAGAGAAACAATTGAAAACTGTTTCGTAGATTTTCTGAATATGTTGTTTTTTCAGTTATCGTGTTTACTGTTAAGGTCATTAGTCGTTAATTCATCTATTCACTTATTAATCTTCCATCAGACCTGACTAAGAAGTATAGGAATAAGTCAACTACTATCTAAATTACAAATTCAAATTCGACGTAGTCAAAAAGTAATCTACAACGAACAACAACATATCCATTAAAAATATAAAGAGAAAAGGATCATGCGGACAAAGGTATATAACAAATAGAAAAATAATGGGCAAAATCCGCAAAAAGAAGGAAAGTGGATTCGAGCAGAAAATAGGATAGGTAACCCGAGCGATACGTATTTCTGCTTGTTAGCTTCATCAGACCCGAAATGAATAATTATGCAACTACAAAAGTAAATACACATGCCCATACATCCGGATACGGGTGTAACCTGAAGACACGAAGATGGAGAGGGAAACAAATGACACAAGAAGTCACCACCAAGAGCCAAAACACACATTGTATATATTGTGGCTATAACCTGCCGCGTGGTTGTGGTTAGATATCGCCTTGAAAATTCGAGGAAGTGGTTAAACCGTACCTATTATATGCCTCTCTAATATTAACTTCATTAGCTTGATACTCGGCTTGTAGCATTTTGTAAGTACTTTGCCTCTTGTATTCCGTCCAAGCTTCTTCATTTTCAAGCACAGCCTCAGGCACGGGAGGCATACTTATAGATTCAAGCGTTGCAACAGAACTTTGTTTTCCATTCACTAAACTTCTAGATTTTCTCTTTGGCATGTAAGAGAAACTGCCTGTCACAACAAAACAATTTACGCTTAATACGTTGTACATACATAATATGATTGATGAGTTTTAAAATTTTTTGACGCCATGATATTTTTCGCATAAAAGTGGCGTCAAGTAGATTGACTCTATATTTGCTACGTCTTCGTTCGAGGTTTCAAAAAAAAGGGATAAGTCAAATCGTTCGCTTCAAAAGGTGAAATCGAATCATTAGGTAGATTCACTTAGGTACGATGAATCTTCGACCTCTGCATATCAAACTATATTAAAGCAAATCTATCATATTTCTGTTTTCATGGCAGAAGTAGGGAAATACGTGTGACTTATTACAACCATTAAACATAAAGCTTCCAACCTACAATTTTCATCCCCTCCAAACAATGTCTGAAAATGAGCAGGAATCTCTGAAACGTTGTAACACTATGTTCAAGCGATTTTATTTCCGCCGCCGAATCAATCTTTAAAATCTACGACTACCTAAACCGAACTTCGGTTCACAAGTTTTCGGTTGCTTAAAGACTCTAAACACTAACGCAATATACTTACCCTGTCCAGACTTGCTTAACCTTGAATCTTTATGCGTAGATGATGGCTTAGGCGACATATTCTTATCTGTTACTGACATGTTAGATATTGCATTTTCCATTTTGACACCATTTTGTTGATCATGTCCCCGGTGGAAAGGTTTTCCCTCTGGAATGGCACCTTTGATAATTTTGGTCTTATTAGCCGATTTCCTTGTTTTGTTGACTGATCCCTTGCTCGGTACTGAGCCTCTGGAGGCTCTTGAGCCTCTTTTGTGCTTGTTTGATGGTAAGCTACCTGTTAGATTCCAGAAATTGCTTTATTTTTCGCATGTCAAGGGTGTTCCAATAGGTTCTTGGGAATTTAAATTTGGCGCCATTTTTCAACGACTAGAGGCAGAGTATTCAGATTAGAAAAAAAATGAATTTCAAATTGACAATTCTCTTGTAATACTAAAATAAGTTCTTATTCCAGTGTCTGATATGTACTTAAGTTCTTCGGGTTGTTAGGATAAATAAATGACGTCAAGTCCCACGCAACGCGGCTATCAGTTCAAAAAGGATGTTCAGCACAAACCATACCTTCTGAGAAAAGTCAGTCAATCAGGTCCATACAATTAGTCAGTAGACATTCTTTCCCTGCCTTACCTGTAGTGCATCTGGCAATGTCGCTTCACCCCGATACTTAACTCGGTCAGAAGTGACAGCGCGGTCAGAGCATAGGAAACACTATGCTGTGATACCATACCAGAACAAAATACTCGCCAAGCCCTGTGGCAGGACGCCGAGGGCAGCAGTCGTGGCCGGTATGTACGCGATCCATCTGCCCAGAATATTTTTCTAAGGCTTATTGGCTAATTAATGTACAGAGAAATCGATGATGTGTGAAATATGTCTGATAGGTGCTAAGATTAGTAGCGTATAAATGTACTAACGTCAACCCCCCTCCAACCACCACCCTCCAAGTTTTTTAGCTCTAAAATTTTTTTCAAAAACGATTTCTATCCTCTGAAACCTCAAAAAACGAGGCTTGAGCGATATTTACTCTTTTCGTTTTAGGCGTTTCTCTCTGCCGCCACTGAACCAATTTTCAAAAACTAGAAGATTTTACATCCCTGGTATATTGTGTAACATTGTGTAAAAATTTCATCGAAGTCGAGAGGTACTTCTCAGGTTATCGGAAATCAGTGAAATGGTCTTTCGGGATGGTCATGTCATATAACATCCAAAAAATATATCTTATTTTCTAAAATGTTCGCGATTAAAAAATGTTAAAAATACGTTTTCAAAATTAAAAATTTACATGAAATATTAAAGTGAAAAATGTATTCTTGAAAATTGACTGAGTGTGTAAAAGACCAAACAACAAACAAACAAAATCTATAACATGTACACAAGTTATTGTCAATTTTTTTGTATAGTTTATGATTTTTTTATACCTTAGGGGCCCAGGTCTGCTTATACCTCGATCGACTCACAGAATACCATTCTTTTAATTTGTTGTAAAATAAATTAGAATTTCTCTGATAGCGCTGTAATTGTGCGCGATGTTTTCGGATTTCGTGAAATGCTTATATTACACTATAAATCTTGAACAGAAAATCCAGGCTAATATATTTTGCATATCAAAATCAAACATCCTACGGCTCCGAAAAACAAAGACATCATTTAAATTCGCTGTGGAAGGCCCCTTTGTAAGATGTATTTAGTCGCAATATGAAACCATATGTGTTAGTTTTGAACAGGCAGATTGATAAACTCCAAGTCTTTTACTATGAGTGGGCTTAATTGCGACGATTAATGTTGATAACTCACATTACAACGGCTTTTTGAGAAAAAATGCTATTTCGGCTCTCAAGGGTTGAAAAAGCACCGTTTTTCGACTAAGTGTGTATTTTTGATCCTAATTACAGCTATAAAAAACAACGCATTTGGAAATTTACTATTAGTGGCGCCTTTTTATGTGGTTAGTATAAAAAAATCTAGTATCTAATTTGATATTATATAGATATTAAACTCTGTTTAGTGTGAGGCCGTTTCATTGATCTAAAGCCGCTGGACACATCGACAAAAAGGACAATTTTTCTGAAAAATATTAGTAACAATTAGAAAATTGCAGAAACGGTTGAGCATTTTTGAATGAACTGTTTTAGGGTGTTGAGCAACACAAGCTCAGCTTTTGGCTATTATTTCAGATTTACTGTTCCGCGTTTTCCAGTGAAAAAATAAATGTTGAAATTGACGATTTATGAAGTTTTTTGGACAACGTACTCGTTCACCACTATTTGAGTATAAGCGCAAAAGTATTTTTTTCATCTATATCGTTTAATAAAAAAGTTCACCAGCAACATTTTCTGAATCTCTCGGTTAGGAGCCTTTTCTTATACCTTCAAGAATATAATTCCGTTGCAAAACAGCTTATTACAGTTTTTCTCCCAAATTCTAGATATCCTAATCTAGTGTTATCTCAAATCTAATATTTTTTATTGCGAATACCATATTATTACCTGATGAAGCATTCGCATTAGTAAGCTCCTTCCGTTCCATTAGACATGACAGCCGCTCCGTTTTGGTTCTATTGTATACCTCCTTAAATATTCTGAACACCATGCTGACTTCAGCCACATTCATGACGCTTATCTCCGTCAAAGTATTTGCCAGATACTGTTGGACAATTGCCTGTAGGTGTTCCGTCCTATCTTCGTTCAGTGCGCTCAGATCTTGGTTCATCAAGATTGAGTTGAGCATTTCCTCTTTCTGCAGCTGTTCTAGTTTCTGGCTGAGTTGCTTTGCTTGCGCCTTTATATCGCCTTTTTTCTCTACTATCTTCTTCTCTGGTGGTATGCGTTTGAGTAAGGAACCGAATCTCATCATGGAAATGGTCATGGGCAGATCTTCTCGCAGTGTCTTTATGTGACCAATAAACCTACATACATCATACACTTACACACAGTATTTTTTTATACCCCAGCTACCACGAAGGCCTAAGGTCTAAACACCCATGATATACCGTGGGGCTATAGGGGAAAGGGGTGATGTCACACTGACTCTAGCGAGGGAACACGTGTGCATGCAGCATGTACACATTCTGGTCCCGCCTAAGAGATCCGCCGGGTCGTACCTCTGCATACGACAGTCAGAGACCGTACGGACAATCACAACATCCATAGCCAAGAGAAAAATTTCTCTTGGGACGGGATTCGAACCCGCGCAGCGCGCGGCGACTCATTAGGAGACCGAAGAGTCTACCACTGCGGCCACCGCTGCAGCCTTATTTCTGCTATAACCACCATATTGGAGAAATGGCGCCCCAAAACGGTTATCTACAAAATCGATTCTTTGTACGGTAAAATTAAGAATGCTTACACCTGTACGGATATACCATATTGACGTTGGATGGTTTCGATGTACGAGCGCAGCAAAGCTTTATTATGCAGTTTGTCTCCCAATTGAATGTCAATATTTAAGAGGGTGACTTTTGGGTCCATTTTAAGAAAATTTCATATGAACGCATATCCTTTTTTAATTTCCGCCAGTGGCGTTTATTCAGAATTTTACCTGTCTATTTTGGCAGTCACTGATGAATAATAATTCTTTAAATCCAGTCATTTCTAATTAACTTTGATAACTTGACTTTATCAATTTGATACACGGTTTTTGCTTAAAAAAAAAATAAGAAACGTTTCTCTGCATAATAATAACAATATCGTTAATATGCTGCTCCCATACTCCAAAATTATAAACAAACAAAAAGGCAGAACCAGTGACGTAGCTACCTTGGGTGGCACCCGGTGCGGAAGTTGGTGGTGTCACACCATCGAAAGTCAAAAGCAATAAATGTTATATGATTTATAAACGTCATGGATCATTTAATATTAATGTTTAAAATATTGAACAAATAACAAAACAATAAAAACTAAGACAGAAAAAATATTTTTATGCTACAATTGAAATTCTTCTTTCTAGCTTTGACAGCTGCAAACTCAGAAATAACTTCATCAAAATTTATATTTTATATTGCCTCGTGTTCGATGGCTAATATACCAAGATTGTTGAGCCTCGATTGGGTCATTGTTGCCCGCAAATAGTTTTTTATTAATTTTAGTTTACTGAAACTCCTTTCACATGAAGCTACTGACACTCAAACTGTCCTAAACAATTTCAATGCAATCGTAAGGTTTGGAAGAGATTCTGTAAAATCTCATTCTACAATAAACTTTAAAAAATCTAGAGATACCCAATCAGAAACCTTAACATTAGCGGCTTTTAAGTGTCTTCGCAGTCTTAATATATATCCAAAAGTAATTCTGTTTCTGATACATCATAAAAATCAGTAAATTTGGATGTAGCTAAATTTCAGTTCTTCAGTATTCGCCAAAAGCAAAGTATTTGTTTGTACGATCTTGAACAATGAAACTAGGTATTGAAGAGACTTCGATCTTGACTGGAGTTCAACTCTGAATCGATCAAGACATTCCAACATATCTTTTTGAAGGTCTTCTTTCAGTGTGAGTCCTGCATCACTGGCCATCTCATCAACCACTCGTTTTTCACGATGAAGTCGTCTTTCTGTTGGAATATCTTAGTCTTTTTTGTAACAATATCTATTGCCTCCTGCAAAATGTCTTTACTTGACAATGCTATCTGTTCAGCATTTATTTCCCGAAAAACATCTGTGCTAGCGATGTAATTTTGTTTATCTTTGTACATTGTTTTTAAAGTTGAGTCACCGGGTGGATGTCACCCCAAAAAAGGCGACACCCGGTGCGGACCGCCGACTTCGTCCCCCCCTTGCTACGCGACTGGGCAGAACATATACACATACAGGACATTTATGTTTACATCATGACATTTATTAAAAAAAATGGCCACCATTTATCCAATATGATGCCTCTAGCAGAAGAGACACCCGGTTGCAGAATGAAAATTTTGAAAGAGGACGTAGTTATCAACTTTCCAAAAGTTCGCCAAAATTTTCCAGGCCACTCCCTTTTTTGAACACCAAATGATCGTATTAATATCCCTGAATGGATTGCACCAAACTAGTGTTGCCAACTCACACCGTTTTACACTGCCCTTGATGTTATTTGTGTAATACATTTTATGCAAAAATATTTCATTTTGTTTTACAAACCTTAGCATGCTTCTAGCACTCAGATCATTTCCTAGAAAATATACCAGAGGATTGGAGCGTTCTTTAATGTTTGTCTGATTATGTTTTTGTTTAGCTAGGTACAGGAATAATTGCGTCAAATCACATTTGGTAACGTTCGCTCTTCCTATTTCTTTTACCGGTTTGAAAATACTAGCAAGGTTGCCAACTGTATCAACTCCTGCCATGTCGATGATATGCAATCGTGATTCTCTGAAAACGCCAAGCAATCTTAAAATGTCTACTTGTAAACCAATAAGCGTTTTAAAGGGACATCATTTCAATCAAACCAAGCTCTAAGTGTGGCGAGCACCAATCGAGATGATACAAAACTAAGTTAGTTTGTTGTCGACAATGTCCACGAGTCCAAGTCGCTAGTAAATGCAGATCTTGATAGTGTTTAAAGGTACTGTAGCTCCCACAACTTAAGACTGAATCACTCGAAATGTTCTGCCATATTATTTGCTAATGAAAAATTGTGTGAAAATATTAATTCATTCATTTATATCAATGCTAATAGGTAGGAAATTATATGTTATACAAAAGTAAAAAATTTGGTCCCACTTGAACAACGCCTTGAAAAATCAGTATCTATCCCTTTGGATTCTATTTGCAAACAAACTTGTTCTGCATAAAAACATATAAATTAAATTGTGTAAAAGTCTAGTTATTCCTAAAATGTTATATGGTTTATCTATCTATTACACTTGTCTGACGTCTATTAACGCAAAACGTTTAAGAAAGCTTGATCATGTATCACATTTATATTGCAACCTTGCATGGCTTAACGTTCAAAATCTTTTCAAATACCCTATTCTAAGCTTTACCTCAATACCTCAGCTGTAAACTTGTTACAAGGGCGTGTGTGCATAATCTTCAGGTTCGTTATCTTTTCACCTTAACCATGAAAATACGCTCTTCAGATCTTTTACTTACAATGCAGTTGTATCATACAACAGCTTAGGCCAAGATCTTAAGATTATCCAGTCTATCCAGAATTTCAAAAAACAATTAAAAAAACATTTACAAGGATTAGAGGACAACCGATAGCTCGTTTTCATACCTTGTATTTTTGATCAATTATTTTCCGGTTCTTTCTGACCTATTGTTATCTCTTTTTCTGTTCTTGTAAGTGAGTCGGCATTACTTCGTATTACATTGTATTGTGACAGTTAATTATTATATAATAAGTTACTTTTGCGGGGTTAGATGGTGGAATAGCTAAATCTCTGATATTTTCTGGTCAATAAAAGCGATTCGTAGTATTATTGAATTCGTGGTGAAATTCAGTATTAAACATACTGTCTCATTATTCGAATATAGAACTAATCGAGCGGCCACTGTACTATACAACTTATCCGACAAATTTTAACCACATATGCACTGTTACGAAAGAAGTTGAATTCTCAAAAAAAAAATGTAAGAAAAGTAGTAGACTCTTCGGTCTCCTGATTAGTCGCCGTGCTCTGTGTGGGCTCGAATCCCGTCCCAAGAGAAAACTTTTTCTTGGCTATGGATGTTGTGGTTGTCCGTAGGTTGTAGAAGGTCTCTGACTGTCGAACCCAGAGGTACCACGCGGCGGATCTCGTAGGCGGGGCCACAATGTGTGCGTGCATGTTGCATTCACACGTGTTCCCTCGCCAGAGTCCGTGTGGCGTCCTCCCTTTCCCCTAGACCCCCCTATAACCCCACGGTACCCCATGGGTGTTTAGGCCTTAGGCCTTCGTGGTAGTTGTAATATAAAAAAAAGAAATTAAGTTATAGTTATAGTGATAAATTGAAAAATAAATATCTGTATTTTGCGTTCATCGTCGTGATATTAGAACACGCATTAATAATTTATTGTAGACTGACAAAAACAAAATACCAGGAATTTTTTGTTTTTTCATACTGATAAGGATGTGTAAATAAGGTTTAATCTTCATCCTGGGTGATCTGAATGAAGAAGGGTCGATTTTTGTGAAGTTAAATAAGAAAGTATACTAAGTGATATATAAATCCGAACACCCAGTTTAAATTCGCGAGCGGCTTCTCGTTTGCATGCACACCGATTTCCGAAAAGGCACATACCACATCACGAAACATTTAGTTCAATTGTTTGTGTGCCCAAGTTTGCATTGCAGTGATTGGAAACAATTTTGAACAGCTTTTATAACCAAGTGAACTATTAAACTGTATTATTTTATTATCTCGATTTCTGTAGGACTTTTATTACATTTTTTTTTTTTGAGAAATCAACTTCTTTCGTAACAGTGCATATGTGGTTAACATTTTTCGGATACGTTGTGAAACACCCTGTATTTCCAGCTACTAACCTAGTTATGAACTCTATTGGTTGGTGCTCGCCGCCCTAAGTAGTTTTCTGCAGTGAAATCAATTATTCGTAAAAATTTGCATTTTTGGAAAGTGTTTGCTTGTTATATTTACACAGATCGATAGTTGCAAAAAAATACTGACCTCATGAAGGGTTCACTGTACTGTTCATTTTTCGTAGTCACATGAAACGTTAACACACTGCTAAACAGATGCGAAAAATATGCATTCGTATCAGCAAATCTTTTTCTTGCTTCTGCCAAAAACAGCGTTTTGAGCGCATCCAACTTTGATCGTACTCTCAACTTCGTCATTTTTTCCCTCACAAGCCAGTGATCCATCTCGTTCGGAAACTTGAGCAGCAGATCTACTGCTCCATTTTCGTTAAATTCGACATATGATATCTGTATAGCCATTTTCATGTGTGATGGTAATTTTTTCTTATACTCAAACAAATCTTGAGCTATTCTGGGAGCTATACCGAGATCTTCCGAAGATAATTGCAGCCCTGCTAATGTAAGCGACTTGCCCGTACCTGATTGGCCGTAAGCTGCGATGGTTGCGCTGTAGCCTTTTGTTAGATCTTCTAGCAAACCTTCTGCTATCTATGGAAAAATTATATTTTGCATCAGTAATAATATGGTAATTCACTTTATTAATATCTGGGAAATGGCTTCAAAACTCGACTTGATCTCGCTTCAGTAGGGGAAGCTCGAAAGTTTTATTTCAGACTTCATTTATCCAAACAATTTCTGAGATTACGACGTTTCAATTGTTGTGGTATCTTCAATCGTCTGTGGACTGATGAAAATGGAAGTCCGAAATAAAACATTAGAAATATACAGACTCCCTACGAATTTCAAACAACGGAAGGAGAGCTCGTTTTAGTTATCGAATACCCAAATAAGAAGATTCTTGTAGATTTTGTTTATAGACAAATAGCCACCAGATCAGAACCTGAATTTCGAATCACCGCGTTTGCCATAAGAGCCCAACCACACGTTTGCTTATGAAATAGTTAGTAATAATAATAGTACTAGGTATTCATTAGGGCGAAGTTTAGCCATAGTCTATTCTTCCACTTAACCCTTTTTCTTGATTGACCCATTAATTTGGGAATAATGCAAGATGTATCTTGGCAGTCTAGTCTTTTTAAGCTATTCCACGGATTCGTAGATTCCCAGATACACGATTTCAGATTGATTTTACTATTCTCCTGTTGCTATAGCAGATTCCTAATCATTGCAGAGGGGAACAGATAACTGTGACAAGTTCTCATAGGTGACGCTACGGTAACTCATTTCATCTCTGATCATTTCAATATGTTAATCAATGGTTATTTGGTAGACCCTTCCACGTTTTGTACACCCTAATAGATACGAAGGACCGTTAGTATATACCATTTTTAATGTATAATTGAATTTGACTGTACTATATATTTAATATATTTTAGGGCTTTAAAATTCTAGTTTTTAGGTTTTTTAGCACAAACATTTCAGTAGCAAACTTTGCTCAACCGGTCCGGTGATACCGTACAAATGGATCGATCTGCCGACGTGTAAGGTTAGTAGTTTTACATGGAGCTATAAAAAAACTAAAAACATTACTCTTCTCATAGCAGTTCCAAAAAGTAACTCTTTTTACTCTTTTAAAATCAATTCTAAGGAAAAAATCCTCAAAGATTGTTATCAGATCTTATAGGAGCTTTGTTCCAGTTTTCGGAAATAGTCTTACATCTCTCTGTGCAATCACCGGTTACCGAGATATCAGTGATCGATCACAAAAGAATCCTTTTTCATTCAAAACCATATATATCGCCGTCAAATGATCATATCGAGATTTTAAAAACAGGATATGAAAGGTAAATAAAATGGCTAGCTAATCTAAATAGACTAAATAGAAGACGAAAGTTTCGGAAAAAATGTCCTTGCGCTATCTGTTAGAATTGCTTAAGAACCGTTGCCCCTAAAGTATTTCAGCAAAAAAATAAAAAAACTAGAATCAAGTTTCAAAATTCTTTAAAGTCTAGATACGACCATTTTCACCGAAATACATGTCGTGTAGTGTATTTTGGAAAAATGAATTAACTTACCGAAGAATATATATGTTCCTGTGTGGTATTGTGAAACACTCCGTCGGTAAAAAATTCCCAGAAGTGCGGTTCTACATCTTTCTTCGAAGAATCATTCAATTCCTGAAGACGTCTTACGTATATTGTGTTCTTATCTTTAATTCTAACGTAATCCCAACAAGGTTTATCTAGGGGAAAGATCCTATAAAATATTTTTATGTCCGCATAGTCAGAGTTTTTCATAATTTCAGCCCTTAAAATATCCGGACATGTAAAATTAGGTCATTTGCTTGATAGATGTCAAATTAATGAGCAAATGACAAATTCCTGTCTAGTCCGTGGTTTTTGACTCTTGGTAAATTCAGCATGATCGTGTAGTTTTTTTAGATACATGTTAAGTTTTCAATAATAAAGTGATAATAAGCAATTTTTTGGTGTTGCTGAGTCTGTTTTAGAGAAACGTTTTTGTACAGATTGTATTTACCCTGAATGAGAAGAGAAAGGTTTGACGATGGCATTCTACTACTACATTAAGATTGCAGATTTATTTAAATTGGATTACACAGAATTCCAAATTATGCATGAAAGGTGGATGCCTCAGTTTACCTAAAAATTAGCTGTTGTATTCGAATTTTTAACAGGGGTATCCTCCACTAAAGCAAAGAAATGCGTTTGAGTAGCTGATATAGATTGTCCACATTTATTTTTCAAGGAAGGTGTAGTTGATAATTGTATTTTTTTCGAGTGTGTATATATACATATACTAAGTGACATATACATCCGAACACCCAGTTTAAATGGTTTTATTTTAATGAAAGTTGGTGAATGTATTTATCTTACTGTAAATAACAAGTGAAAAAATTTTCAGCCTTATCAGTTGGACATTCCGGTTTTTATACGGCTTTTTTTTAATTCACTAACGCTCTAAAAATGAATATTTCAGCCGCAGTAAAGAATCAACGTTGGCGGATTTTGGTTCTTGACATCCTTTACGATCGGTTACGATGCCTAGAGTACGGAGACCTGTACGATTTCGTCAACTTAGTGAGTTTGATAGGGGCCGTATAGTGGGACTTCGGGAAGCTGGACTTTCTTTTCGGGCAATTGCAGTTAGAGTGCAAAGAAGTGTAGACACTGTGGTTATGTGTTGTCAGGCATGGCTTCGAGAAGGCCGTACGCAAAGAGCAAGGGGCACTGGACGCCGCCGTAGAACAACAGACCGTGAAGATCGCCGCCTAAGATTATTGGCCTTAAGGGACCGTTTCTCCACTACCAGGTCCATTGCAAAAGAATGGTTTGCAGAACACGGAAGACCTATTGGCATGCGAAGTGTTTACCGACGAATGAGAAGTTTTGGCTTGTTTTCATACCGGCCACACTGGGTCCTCCCTTTAACTCGAGAACACCGACGTAATCGCCTTGAGTGGTACAGACAACGGTCACTCTGGGATCAGGAATGGAACAGTATTGTCTTTAGTGACGAGTCTCGATTTTGTTTAGGCGTGCACGATGGTCGTGCCAGGGTTAGAAGGCGACGTGGTGAAAGGAGGAATCCACAGTTTTTTGTTGAAACACATGTTCATCACACTGTTGGAGTTATGGTTTGGGGTGCTATAGCTTATGGTTCCAGGTCACCTTTAATCTTCATCAGAGGTAACATGAACGCGCAGCGTTATATCCACGAAGTTCTAGAACCCCATCTTTTACCCTATCTTGACACCTTGGCAGATCCAACTTTCCAACAAGATAATGCCCGACCACATGTTGCAAGAGTCACAATAGACTTCTTTCAACATAATGATGTCACATTGTTACCATGGCCACCAAGATCTCCCGACTTATCCCCAATTGAGCACGTGTGGGATATTATGGGTAGGAGATTGCTCAATTTGCAACGTCCTCCTCAGATTCTAGAAGCACTTCGAGAGGAGTTGGTGGTTGCCTGGAATGAGATACCACAGGAGGACATTGACCACCTGATCAGAAGCATGCCTAGGCGCGTTGGAGAATGCGTAGCACATCAGGGTGCATCCACACATTATTAAAGGTCAAAGGTCTTTAAAGCAGTGCAATCATTTTGAAATTTTTATCATTTACTTATTATGCTTCATTAAGTACTTATACAAAATTTTATTAAAATAAAACCATTTAAACTGGGTGTTCGGATTTATATGTCACTTAGTATACAAACTCGTTATACACGTACTTGAAATTTGTACATTGAAAGATAAACCATTTGAGTCCCTTGTTTTCACTCTGAAACTGAACCAATCGAAAGAATTTGATCTTTATTCCAGATCCCATAGAACATACATACACACATACATACATACATTTTATAACAAGTTGTCAACGTTAGAAGGTAAAGGGTATTTTCAGCTGATCTGACTAAAGCTTAACCTCCACGACAGAAGTGTTGTTATCACAGATTATTTATTAGCTGCACTATTGTCACATTCTAAGAATGTAGTTTAAAAAATGCCACCGAGTTGTCGCAACGTCAAAGTTTCAGGAGTTACAGAATATTATACAGAATATATATATATATATATATATATATATATATATATATATATATATAAATTATCGGCAAAATTTGCAAAAAGGAGGAAAGTGGATTCGAGCAGAAAATAGGATAGGTAACCCGAGCGATACGTATTTCTGCTGGTTGGCTTCATCAGGTCCGAAATGAATGCACATATGAAACTACAAAAGTAGATACACATGCCCACACATCCGGATACGGGTGTAACCTGAGGAAATGAAGATGGAGAGAAAAAAAAACGGTACACACGAAGTCCACAAGAGCCATCCTACACATTGTATGACATGGCTAGAAGACGCGGAATTTTCAAGGAGACATCTAACCACAACCACGCGGCCGGTTATAGCCACTTGCTGTGGTACTTCAAGCCCAAAGGATCTACAAAGAGAAAATGTGTATCTAATTTTGTAGTTTCATATGTGCATTCATTTCGGGCCTGATGAAGCCAACCAGCAGAAATATTTATCGCTCGGGTTACCTATCCTATTTTCTGCTCGAATCCACTTTTCTCCTTTTTGCGTATTTTGCCCATTATTTACCTATTTTTTGTTATATACCTTTCACCGCATGATCATTTTCTCTTTATATATATAATGATATTCCGTTGAAATAAAAATATTCAAAACAAAACAAAATCTTGAAACAATCGATTGATTTACCCAAAGCTCGTTCAAATATAAATAGCTATGTTTCTATGAAATACATGAATAACATTTTCGAACTTTTTGATTATTATGTGTGTCTGTGAAATGGGAGAAAGCATAACGAGCTAAATTATCAAGAAAGCTATTTCGTCGCCATCGTCAGTCGACCTTGCAGCAATAGATTAATCATTTGTGTTGCAGTTGAACCACTGCTTTGTGTAATCGTTAACCATAACATAATCATTATGAAGGTTGGATGTATAGACTGTTTCTCAATAGACACTTCTGGATTCAAATTTAGCGCCATTTTTCACAGTTGACCTAGTTATGACGAAGAAACGTATTCCGCAAACATTTACGACAAGCGTTCATGATTTAAATTTTAAATTTAAGGTATATGAGCACATTATCCATCCAGACATCGCACAGCCATATTTCAGCGTTTTTCATATAACGCCGCTATATATTATAATGCATTAAATAACAGTATTAGGAATACAGCAAATTATCATAAAATTAAGTCACTATATTAAAACAAAATACTTTAAAAACCCAGTAACAAAGAATAATCTTTATTGAATACATTTTATGTACACAGTAACACAAAAATTTTAGAAGCATTTAAGACTTTATCAAGTATTCAGTAACAGATATTATTATAGTTCATAGTATATACTTAATTTAGTGCTTTTTTATATTTTCAAATATTGGTTGATTGGATTGGCCAATGGAAAGGCTCCGCCATTTGCATCATACCTTTTAATGTTATGATTTTCTATGCCCGTTGGCGAGGAAGTATTGTAATCGCGAAAAATTTCGAAAATGAGATTTTATGTTTTTTGGATCTGACATGTAAATCGTACATCACGAAATACCATGCCACTCTTCCATTCTTCTTCATTACAATCTCTGTTGCAACTACTCGTCTTGTTGGTGTTCTTTTATTTTAATAGAATAGACAACCTAACAACAACTTATATCGAATACAGCCTTATCATAAAAGATACGAATACCAGAAGTTATAAATATTATTGTTTAGTTTAGATTTATTGCTCAGATTATTTTACATCCACACTTTGTTAGACGTGAATCGTTTTAAATATTTATATTCAAAAGAGCAGTCGGATGACTAATCTGGTAATGTAATGTACACATTATTGTTCCAAGAATAGCGATGGTTTTTGGACAATGGTCTACTACTTAACACCACTCAATCACGAATTATTAAGTTCGGCCACATAATTCATAACCTCAGTAACAGCTTGTTGATCAGATCATTGGACGGATCAATAGAACGTCATCAAGTCATCAAGTCATCGTTGGTTGTCAGAGCGGTCCGTGGGACCTTAGCTCTTGAGTCACAGTGTCAGTTTGTAAGTCTGTCAGGTCTGGTAACCCAGAAACCAGACAATTTTAAGGAAAAAAGGGGAAGGAAAGGAGAGAAGGAAGAACGAGAGCAAAGGGGAAGAAGAGAATCTTTTAGGATATGCAGCGTTTAGGCATTGTTAAAATCGCTTCACAGATTTTGATATGGTCTAAAAGTATTTGATTTTTTCTAAAGATTGTGTAAAAATGCTCAAATTTTGGTTGTTCTAAGTTCACGAGTTAATTTTGATTACAGTGCGAGCCGCGGCCTTTTGTGCTTGCGAACTTGCTCGACTGTGTAGTCCACTGAATCACGCAACAGAGGGTTGGTGTGCGATTCCGCTAGGCTATAGCGCCGCTGCGCCTGTTGCTTAATGTAGTCCTTTAGGTAAGGGACATCGAGGTCTCTATGTAGAGTTTCGTTAGAGACATACCATGGGGCATCAGCAATAGTGCGCAACGTCCTGCTTTGCAGAACCTGCAGACTTCGCATGTGTGTTTTAGCAATAAAACACCAAGCCGCACATGCGTATGTCATTGCTGGTCTTATGACCACCTTATAGAGTCGAATCTTGTTAATCAAACTTAATTTTGACCGTTTACATAATAATGGGTAAAGCTGCCGAAACGTAATTTGGAATTTAGTTTTTAGCGCTTCCATATGGTTCCGCCAAGTCATCCCTTTGTCCAGAATGACACCGAGATACTTAGCGGAGGATTCCCATGGTATACGAAGTC